ACCCAGAGAACAACCATGCTAAGGTAAAAAATGGCTCCCCAGTATGTGATGACTGTTGTCAGTGGGAGGCTGTTCAGTTCACCCAGAGGAATTATGGGAAGAGTTAGGCCCAACTTTGGCAGTTAGAAGAAATGAGGCCATATTCTCCTAGACACAGGAGTAACTGCTTTGTTGTTTGTATGTTAGTTTATACATTCTCAGTCTGGCCCCTGCAGAGGAAGGCCACAGAACAGTGGTTCTCAACCTGAGTCGCTAACCCTTTGCAGGTACAAGGACTCTTTTATAAGGGGTCACCTAAGACCAGCAGGAAACATAGATATTTACATTACAATTCATAAGAGTAGCAAAATTAGAATTATGGAGTAGCAATGAAAATGATGTTAAGGTTGGGGGTCACCACAACATGAGGTACTCTATTAACGGGTTGCAGCATTAGGAAGGTTGAGAACCACTGCCATAGAGTTTCCAGAAACTATGGCAAAGCATCCCACCCCTAGTAGGTGTGGAAGACACTCCCAACTCAGACACATGCGGCCAGTTGGTCTGAGGTGTAAGCCCATTATGGATTCAGCCCTTGGCAAGTACACAGGTGGGTGCACCTAACAGGAAGTGTTCAGATCAGAGACTGGTATCCTGTCCTTTCAGGAGGCAGCCTTTTTTGTTTTTGATGTAGTGTCCAAGACCTTCCAGTTGAAAGTCACCATCACTGGCCATCATAAGGGCTCCCTCAGCTAGGCTTGGCAGTGATGGAGTGTCTGAAAGCACTTGTAGGTCTGTCTGCAGGACAAAAATGACTGTCTTTCTTCCATTGTGCTGTTCAGACCTTGTCAACAGTGATTTGATGTGCACTGTTAGTCCAGTCCTTTAGATAGGAGCTTCCTGTGGGACAGTGAGAAGTACTTCCCAAGAGAAAATGGTAATTTCCCCAGGAATCCAGAGACCATGATTCAAGCCTACTTTTGCTATGAAATGTATGTTAGTGTGTGTGTCTGTGTGTGTGTGTGTGTGTGTGTGTGTGTGTGTGTGTGTGTGTAACACTGCATTCCTTCTTCTGATGCCTACACTTTGTCCTTCTCCATGTATTCAGATTGCCAAGGAGAAAACATGATGGCTGTGTGGGGTAGAAAGAATGGCTGTTTCCAGACAGTGAGATCATAAGGTTTTCTGGGAAGGCCCCAATAGGTGGTTTGGAACCACAGCACAGGAATTGACATGCTGGTAGCAGCTGGGATGGACTAACAGTTGTTTGATATTTTCTAGTCCCCAATGAGGGTCCCTGGGAACCTCCTCTTTCATCAGAGGCTGAGGTGCCTCAACACAAAAGCTCATGTCAGCTTGGAAGGTGGCCGCAGATACACATGAATGCACGGATAACATCCTAAAATACACAGGTTGGAGACTCAGGGGAAGAATACTAAGGAATTTAGGTGACATTTGTCCTTTTTCCTCTGAATCCAGTCCGTGATGCAGGAAATGGGACACTCAACATGGAAACATCTGTTGTTTTCTATCCCCTATACAACCTGGCATATCCTTCTGGTGTAAATCCCTTGCTGGCCTTATGGCTGGTGTGGGCAGGTGTGTCTCCCTTGTGTACCATGCCTACCTTCCTCTCTGCCCTAGGCAATCTCACTTTCAGGAGCCTGAGTGTAAGGAGGGGTTCAGCAGCCTTGAACTAGGAGCTTGCATGTGGAAAGGATATACAATGTCTACACACCCACAGGAGGTCTGGACACTCCATGGACACTGACACCTAGCTTCAAGTCTCCCACTGAATGCCAGGCAGGTATAGGCAGTAAGCATGTTCCTGGCAGGGTATAGGGTTTGTGCTCAGGCCATGGTCCACTTTGTGCCCAAGATTTTCTTTCTATGCCTTCTTCTGACACATGATTCTAATTTACTGGTTCCCAATTTAGTTTTGCTGTATGGTCCTTAACCCTTGAGATCATGTCGTACCCTTCTGTTGGAGTGGGATTGAGGAAATGGTAGGGTCTGAGACCTCCCAGACAATATGCATAAAGACTCCTAGGCTCACCACTGGCTACAAGAAGCCAAGATTAAATTTATCCTTTTGGAGCCATGAGTATGCTCAGGCTACAGAAGAGGCTTGCCTCTAGCGTCCTCCGTTGTGGTAAAAAGAAGGTCTGGTTGGACCCCAGTGAGACCAATGAAATAGCCAATGCCAACTCCCATGGAAAAACACTTTGCTCGACGGAAGGGCAGGCATATGAGCATAGGGAAGCAGAAGGGCACTGCCAATGCAAGAATTCTCGAGAAGGTGACCTGGGTACGAAGGATGCGGATCCTGAGTTGACTTCTCAGGAGATACCGGGAATCCAAGAGGATTGACCGCCACATGTACCATAGCTTGTACCTGAAGGTCAAAGGGAATGTCTTCAAAAATAAGCAGATTCTCATGGAGCACATCCACAAGCTGAAGGCAGACAAGGCCCGCAAGAAGCTCCTGGCTGACCAGGCTGAGGCTAGCATGAAAGCGCCATGAGGAGCACCTCCAAGCCAAGAAGGAGGAGATCATCAAGACTCTGTCCAAGGAGGAAGAGACCAAGAAATAAAGCTTCCCTCATGTCTGTACATAGTGGGCTGCCTGTGGCCTCAGGTGGATCAGTCATTAAAATAAAACAAGCCTTAAAAAAATACCCTTTTGGAATCTCATGGCAAATTGTTTCACTTTTTTTTATTCAGAGAAGGGCGGAGGGAGAGGCCCTGGAAGACTGGTACCTTGACATTGATGGTGCAATACTGCCATCAAGCGGTATGTCTGTACGGTTCCTACCAATACCTCATTGTGCTTTCTTTCAAAAAGTCTGGGGGCGAGGGGTTGAGGAATACATTGTGGACTCTGGTGCCTTGAAGTAATAAGGGCTTCAGATAGCCCGGTCCAACTGACAGGTGAGGGCCTCACCTTTGCAATCCCTGAGGCTTGCTCTAGTGCAGAGCAATAACCAGGGCCACACAGGAAGTACAGGCTTGGATATCCCATGGCAGCCATCGTTGTCAGGCAGGGGAGTAGCTCTCTGTCCAGGAGTCAGCAGACCTGAAGCAGAAATGTGTGCAAAGTGTGGAGGATCAGAGATGATGGAGTGCCTGTGATTCCATGTTTCCACATCTTCATGGTTATTTTACAACCTTCACCTGTACTTACCCCTGACCTTGGGATAGACTCTGACCTCAGGATCCCAGACTCTGTAGGTGGGCTTGGGGGATCTCCAGAAACATAATCAAGAGTTTAGCTATCCCTCAGTCAGTCCTTCTTTCATATCTTCTTCTTTTTCTTTCGCCCTCAGTCCATCCTCAGCACATCCCTTCTTTGTTTCCTATTTTCATTTTCCACTCCTTCCCCCATCCTGCTGGCATTCCCCCTCTGCCCTCTCTCTCTCTCTGCTTCATGTGCAGTTTCTTCTTACTTTCTGTCTTTTCTGCATTTTGACTTTCTTTTTGTTTCCTTTCTAGTCTGCTGTCCTTGATGAGGGCTTAAATTAGAATGCAGTGTCCAGTACCTTTAGCCAGGTGTTTAACATCAAAACCAGGTCTCCAGCACAATCCATGTTATGCAGTATGGGAGACACACATTCAGGGGTGGATTGAGGTGGGCATCATTGTCCTGTGATCCAATGAGTGAACAGGAAGAAGGAGCAGGCCGAGTCCTTGCTTGGGATGAAGCTGAGTCAACAAGGAAGTTCGAGGTGAGGCAGGAGAGCTCCCGAGTGAACTGCTTTCAGGACCAGTGCCCTCTTGGTCATGCTCATTGGCTGCAAGAAGTGTTTTATATGCACGTTGCCACTCTTAAAGTCCACAGGCAGTGAGACCAAGATATGGTTCGGACACCTACCCTAGGGCCTGGTCGGCAGGTATCAGGTAAAATTGAGTGGAGTTTCTTCTTTTGACATTTCCTATCCCCCAAATCAAGATTCTGGAGGGCCTACAGATCCAGCAGAGGCCAAGAATGCTTCTAAGCCATAACATGCTGAGTACTGTAGATTATTTCTGACACTATGACCTTGAATTCACAGACAGGGTCTAGGGATGCAGCTTGGGTCCTTTGGACCAAAATCTCCAAAGGGTCTGTCTTCTCTTCTCTTGAGTCTTGGCCGTGGAGTTCTGAACTGGAGCTCTTACAAGGGAGTCCCCACATATGGTTTTGTCCTTTGTCCTCTCTGGATCCTCCTTCTGCCAGGAAATTAGCCATTGCTGCTCCTAGAATGGGGGCTGGTGGATGGCTGTCTGTCTCATGTCAACTGCCCAAATTCTCTGTCCTCTGTACACAATCTGCCAGCAGGCAAGTGTGTGAGGGTATTAGTGGTATCAGGTGACCTTGAACTAGAACCTTCATTGTGGCCAACCTATGTCTGTACTCTCATGGGAGGCCTGGACACTATATGTGCTACCCCTGTGCCCATGTGCTCATTCGAATGTTCCTATCAGGCTCTGAGCGGGAGGGCCATCCTTAGCAGGAGGTCTTGTTTCTGGCCAAAATTTAACTTCTTGGGCTTCTCTTGACTGTTGCATATAGTGATGAGAATTCCAACTAAGTTTTCCTGTATGGGTCTTATGCCTTGAGAGTGTGACTCTCAGTTGTTGAGAATTGTTTGAAAACAGTGGGGTTTATGCAGTAAATCTCCAAGGCCTATCTGTGTTCAGACTTGTCCAAGATTGATCAAAGCCATCCTGGAGTCTATTATCAATCTGTGTCTTTCTGTTTTTTTCCTCAGAGGAGGGCGGAGGCATGGGCCCTAGAAGATTGTCCTTTGGCATTCTTGGTGCAACACTGCCATCAAGCGGAATTGCTTTCATGTTTGTGCCACCATCTATGTGTGCAGTTTGTCAGCAAGTCCAGAGTGA